GCTGCAGGATCCTAATAGCTCTCTCAAGTTTTTATTTTTATCCTGTAGAATTGTTTCTTTTTGCAGGGGTGCGGGGGGTGTGTGTGTGTGTGTGTGTGTGTGTGTGTGTGTGTGTGTGTCCTTTTTTAAGCAGGTGTGGAGGGGTTGCTAATGCTTGTGGTTTGGGTACTCTTTTCCTCAGCTTACATTTAGCTTCACTTGTGGTAACCCATGTATGGTTCTTTAAGCAGTTTCTGGTGTCTGGAGCTCTTCTCGATTTTTCCACAAGCTGTCAAGAAACTCCTACCAAGTCCCCCACCTCCTACTCACTTCCCCATTCATAATCATGAGTTAAATCTGGGCTCAAGGACATTTAGGTTGGCTCAGCACAGATTTTATACTTGCATTTTGGGGGGCAGCCACTATGCTAGAAGATTCATAAAACTAATATTCTTTGTCTTCAGAATGAATCTGGTTTCTGTTGAGAGTTTCTATTGAGAGCTGTAGTGAGTAACAGATGTACACCCAAGAGGTAGCACAACTTTTGTATTCGAGTGACAGAAAACAGCTATTTATGAGAATTTAATGAATGTATTTTGTGGCTCCAGCATGGAGACTCAGTAAGCCATTTATTTACCATATTATATTTTATTTGTTCTCCATAGGGTGTCTTGACTTTCACTTGCCTCCTTTTTTTACTTAAATAAGAGTTTTCAATTAAATAGAGTTGTATTAACACTAATCCGAATCTACCTTATGCTGATACCGTTGTGTTTTTTTGTTGTTCGGCCACTAGTATTGGTGGAACGAGCCGTGTCTAGGGACATTACACCTAACTTGATAATGATGGTTTTACTAAGCCCTTATCCTGGCCAGGCCTGTGGGCATTATACAGATAATTAAAATTTGATCATAAAAAATTTTAAACACAGTGCACCTTAGCAATAGGATTTTTCTATTTTTAAAAGTGATTTTAAAAATACATTTCCGTGGCCTAGTGAATTTGCTTTCTTTTTTTCCCAAGGATTACAGAAAGTGCATAGCAAATTCAGCCTTCAGAATACCCAGGAGCTGAAGACTCAAGTAGGCTACAGCTGTCTTCACCCACAGTATTCTAAAAGAACTAATGAGATGAGAAGTCTGCAGCTGGTGGCAAGCACAATAAACCATGAGCCAAGGGCTTCTCTTCATCAGAGCCTCCCTGTTCCCCATGGGATCCCAAAGGAGACAGAATACTAACAAAGCCAGCAGGCTGTCTCATTCCACACTATTGCTCATTTGCAGCTATAATTGGTAGCTGAGGTTGCATTCTGTATGCTGAAACTGTCATACATGAAGGAATATATTTGTTCATTGTGATACAGATATAAATCGGCCAGTTTTCAAATATGGAAAGACCAAACTAGATACCCAACAATAAAATTGTAGCAAAGACGATTCTGTTCCAAAAAATTAAATGTTTGTTATAAAGGTACAAAACTGAGGTGGTTAAAACTACACCTGCTTCCCGCTTTTTAATACCTTGCTACTTAATTCAACTGATTAAACATTTACGTATTCAAACCAACATAAAAAAACACAAAAATTCCTAGGTTTTGACAAGATGCATTATCCTCATGTGTCAGGGTTAAGGTGCTATTGTTAATAATTGGGTTCTGTTACGTTTTCAGTATAATACCTTTAATGTTTGCTGTTTTTTAGTCAAGAGAAAAAAAGCCAGGAAGATTTACCTTGGGAGATCTGTGTATGTGTGTATAGTATTTTATATGCACACACTCTTGCCTTATAGGCAGATCTACTTTGATACCTCTGCTGCTGCTGCTTCTTGGTGTTTTTGAAATGTGTTTTGCTTATCTGGCAGTTGTGGACGCTCTTCTGCCACCTGCTCTGTGGTGTACTAGAGTGAGCCAAGGACAGAGGCTAAGAAGGCTTGAGTTGAAGCCCTAGGGCAAGAGAGATTTTCAACTCACCACTTCCTTGTTGGGACTATGGCTTCCTCATCTGCAGAGAGGCAGCTCCGATGGTCTTCAAGGTTGGGTTTTCCTGTATAATTCTGTGAGCTCTTAGTTTGCAGTGAATAACTGGCACTAATGATGGAGGCTGGCAAGTAGACTGCAACAGTGTGTTGGGTAGAGAGTGGAGAAGTTTGGAAGCATTATTCCATGTTCTTCAGTTAATTAATTTATCAAATATGGATTGAGAAGCCCTGAGTTGTCACCCTGGGATGGAGCTGGGTTGGGAAGGGCCTGAAGGAGTGTCGTCAATGAAGCCTGCCTGATCCATCTGTTCGTTTTCACCCTCCCTGGTGCCATCATCGTGCAGTAGTTCTGTAGGCTCCATTTCATCAGTTCTAAGGTTCCCCTGCCCTCTTTTCCTCACATTTTAATACATTCAAAATTAGGGTTTGTCTTCCAGTTGTGGCATGCTTTATTGGCTGAGTGTGTTCTTTCTTAATGGCACATAAAATGGTGGAGCATCCTGTGACAGCCTCTCAGATTTGGGAAATTGATATTTACTGTTCAGCACAGGCCAGGCTCCATAATATCTCAGATTTTGCATTAAAAAGAACATTTTGAATGGCATACCCACAGTGAGGTCACACCTGAGACGGTTTAAAAAAAAAAAAGTATTTTCCCTTTAAATAGGATGAAATATAGAACACTTGCCAGGCCTCTGGGCATTGTAGAGATAATTACAATTTAATCATAAAAATTTTTTTTTTTAAGATTTTATTTATTTATTTGACAGAGAGATTGACAGCGAGAGAGGGAACACAAGCAGGGGGGACTGGGAGAGGGAGAAGCAGGCTTCCCGCTGAGCAGGGAGCCCGATGTGGGGCTCAGTCCCAGGACCCTGGGACCATGACCTGAGCCGAAGGCAGACGCCTAACGACTGAGCCGCCCAGGCACCCCTAATCATAAAAATTTTTAACATCTACCTTAGCAGTTAAGGTTCTTCTACCTTTAAACATACTGTTAAAACTCCTTTTAAGAATACATTTCCTTGGCTTATGTCGGTTGATTTCGATTCTGAGTACAGTTCTCTCCATTCTCTGTTGGCAGTTAACCTGTGCTCTCTGGGATTTCCATTATCTTTTCTTTGTTTGCCTCTCTTTTTTTCTCCCAGCCCAACTGTGACTTTCTAGGAGCTAGCTAGCACCAAGTGGGTGTGTTGGTTCTCCTTACACCCTCAGAGCCCTTGGACTACCTCATAGCATCTTGTGTGCTGCTTTCTATGTGTGGTGGTTATGGAATAAGTAGACCTTGATGGAGGGAGATGGTGTCAAAAGTGATTATTTGATAGAATGCTAAATACTTTCAATTTTGGGGAAAAGTGAGCTTGTCTCTAGGTTTCAGTTCCAAGCCTCCGAGCTAGAGAAAATGTTTGATGGCGCTACGTGATTATTTACGTTAGCAGGAGGGCTGATTTTGCACTGTGAACCCAGGTCTTGAGACCACCTGCCCACTTGGTTTTTGCTCAGCAGTGAAGTTGTTAATTTTGAAGTTGTAGCTCTAAATCGGAATTTAAAAATTTGTGCTAGTTGACAGTAATTGAACTTTCTGCTGATGTGCCCAGACACATGAGTAACTCCAGTTCTCCAACTCCTTGCAGGCGGCTCGTCCAGGTTTGTCGTTCCCGGATAATGCTGACTGACCTAATGCCTGTGGCTACACCACACGGTGTATTTTAAAGCACTAAGATCCAGTGTAGCCAGCTAAGTGTGCTAGTTTAATAATTATGGTGTGCTCTTGGGGGCCTTTCTGAAGTTTTGTTTTCTACTTGAACCTCACATTTTTCCTTCTTCACACAATTTACCTATAACTTTGTCAGTAATTATTGACATGTCATGTGCATACCCTAAGTAAGTGTTGAATCCTGAGTGGCTGCTTCTCACCATGTTTTCTTTGATTTATGAAAGTTTGTCTTCTCCTTTAGAGTATGTTCAGTGCTTGCCGTTTTCTCTAGAACAATGATTTTTCATACTTGACTGGTCTGGGCGTTTCCCCCAAAGTCTCTGGTCCTTCCATGAATGCCATGAGGGACCCTTGGCTCAGAAATTCTACTCGAGAAGGCAAGGGCTTCCCTTTGTAGGATTTTCAACTCACCAACTGACCTCTGCTCACTGGTACCATTAAAATTCATTTGTTTTTCTAAATCTGGACTTCAGCTCTTCAAAGGGAGTTTTTTCCTATTGCTGGGTTGTGTGTAGATACGTGTGCGATGACAAAAGAACTTTGGTAAAGCAGACAGGTTTAAAAAGATTTACTTCTTTCATTTTCTCCATTCTGTACGGAAGAGGATGTTAGGGAAATAGAATTGACACACACTATAGAACTTTGCTTAAAACCTAAGTCTTAGGGCCATTCCCCTGTGACAAGATATAACTGAGGTAGTCCCATCACGGAGTCGTAAACCCTTCCCTCGCCTTCTGTGACAACGAGGAGCTGCCATGAGTGCAGTCCCTCTATGAGCAGGCCAAGGGATTTGCACTTGATGGGTCTCTGGACAAGGGTTTGGAGAGGCTGGCCTCGTCATTGAGGCATCCGGCACAGACCCAGCCATGGAAGAGATGGGGGTGTTGCAGGATTAGTAGTTCAGTCTGCATTCCTAGCCAGAGTAGTCGCTCTCGGTCATCACCTCTGGGTATTGTCAAGACTAGGATGAGTACCTTTTATTTCTCGAATATGACTATATATGTATCAAAATGTTGAAACTGTTAAAAAAAAATGTGGGAATATTTGTTCTTGGAGGTAGCTGTTCAGTAACCAGTGGCTTGCTCATCGAGACTTTCATGACTAAATATTATGTAGTTGTCTTGCCTTAACGTTAAAGTGTGTAAAGCAAAGAGAACCAAACCAAAAACTTAATGTAATGAACCATTTTGCTCCTTTTACACAAAAGCACAGTAAGTCTAATCAGTTTCTGTCCTGTGTTTTAGTAGCTGCAAAGAGCTGTTCTGGCAAGGTTAAATAATTTTCTCTGAGTTTCTTCTCTGCCTCTGACTTTGTTTTGCTTTGCAGGACTACAAAGCTGATGAAGACCCAGCATTATTCCAGTCAGTCAAGACCAAGAGAGGCCCTTTGGGACCCAACTGGAAGGTACTGGATGCTGACCTTTCTGACAGGCAGAGTCTTGGCAACAAACCACTTGACAGGTCCCTAGTCTGGAAGAGCTGGTGATGTTTAAGTGAAAAATAGAAATGGCACAAAAATAGTTTTATTTGTGATAAGGACTTAGAGCCAGTTGCAGTTGGCCAGCAGGTGTGCGCTGTATTAACAAACAGAACACAGCCAGACTGTCACTTTCAGCATAACGCTCTTCCGATCACTCTTAAAAGAGACAAGTGATGTAGTCTTTGGGGATTGTAATGTTCTCTTCTGAGACTTGAAGCAGTACAAAAGTCCATGTTAAATGAAGGTTTATAGTTTAATTTAGTCTTAGTAAAAACTGAACAAGTTGCATTCACCTGAGCTCATGTTCCTGGCCTTTTAGTAGTTACGTTCTGGAAACCAGGACACCAGAGAACAATTTTGATGGCAAATAGTCATTTTCTAATAAAGAACACATCCTTACTTTATTCATGGGAGTAGGAAAAGCAATGTCAAGGTAATCATTTAAATTGCTGTAGAAATATAATGCATTTTAAAGATAGCCACTAAACTAAATGACAGACCCTTAAAGAAGGCTTAATGTGGTGATGGCAAGTTATTACAGTTAATTAGACAGGAGCAGAGGAACATTAAAACCTAAACATGCCCAAAGCAGATTTCCACCAACGTGTTTTACTTGGTAACCAATCTCTTCATGGTGAATCCAGTCACCGATCATTGATAAAAGTTATCTGCATGCTAGTTGTTGCTTGCAGATAGAGGATTACTATAACAGCACCACAAATAACCCATTGAGTGGTTCTCCATGGGTGTTGGACTGTTTTGCAGACTGTCTTGCACATCAGCTAAAATGAAGAATGAGTCTGACTTTGTTCTATAAGAAATGATTCTTAATGATCTTAATTTTGCATTTGTTCTCTGGGTAGAGTTCAGTTCAAGATTCTCCCAATTGAATGGTCATGGCCAGAGACTTTTAACTTTAATTCCCAGGAAGTGATATATGTCACTTATAAATTAAGGAACAAATTCAGTATGGGTGATCTAAATTTCATTGAATGGATTTAAAGAATTTCCCCACCCTTTTGCAGATTTCTAACTGTGGACTTTAGAACTCACACTGAGTCAGAGGAGAAGTCTTTTCCCTTTGAGATTTAACCTGGCCTTCCAAAAAAAGAGTCTCGTGTTGGAGCAGTAGATGGGTGGCCACCTCAAAGGCAGCCCTATCTTCTAGAAGGCCGTCTTGCTCCATTAAGTCCTAACGCTAGCTAACGATGCTTTTACAGGGAATAGAGCGCAAAGTTAAGACTAATTTCCAACCTTTTAGGAACTTGGAATTTGATTTTTATTCCTTTTTTATTTATGATTTACCCTTTTTTTTTTTTTAAAGGTTTTATTTATTTATTTGAGAGAAACAATGAGATAGAGAGAGCATGAGAGGGGAGAGGGTCAGAGGGAGAAGCAGACTCCCTGCTGAGCAGGGAGCCCGATGCGGGACTCGATCCCGGGACTCCAGGATCATGACCTGAGCTGAAGGCAGTCGCTTAACCAACTGAGCCACCCAGGTGCCCTATGATTTACCCTTTTAACTAACATTGCTTTGTCTTTTATCATCAATCAGTGATTAAAATTCTAGAATAAGTTAATTTTTAGAAATAATGTGAAATTTACATTTTTTCAGGTTGCATTATAGCATTCTTCCCCCATTGTGTTTGTGTGTGTGCGTGCGCGCGTGTGAGACAGTTGCTTATTATTTCTCTGAGAGGATGCTGGCTGATAGTGATCCCTTCCCACCCCTTTATCTCTTGGTTATTAACTTCAGCCAAATGATGGTGGATGTAGCTACTCTTATAAATGGAGTTACTGCTTAACTGAATTTCATTGAATTACCACGATCTCAGAAATAACCAGTAGTGTGTTGTCGTCCGCTCCCTCCGCCCCCCTGCAGTTTCTCTTTCTGAGGTTTCATTTATCAGTGGTCAACTGCATTCTGGAATTAGTTGTTCCTTCTGAGGTCAAAAGGTCAGTGGTAGCCTGAAGCTGCATCACAGTGCCTGTGTTGTTCACCTCACTTCATCTCACCGTGTAGGCATTTTATCATCTCACATTGTCACAAGACGGGTGAGCTCAGTATAAGAAGATACTTTGAGAGAGAGAAAGACCAGATAGAGGATTACTATATATATATATATATTCGTGTAACTTTTATTACAGTATTTTGTTGTAATTGTTGTTTCGTGATTAGTTGTTGATGTCTCACTGTGCCTAATTTATAAATCAAACATGATCATAGGTATGTGCGTGTAGGAAAAAACATGGTATATATAGGGTTCAGTACTGCCCGTGGTTTCAGGCCTCCACTGGGGGACTTGCAACATATCCCCCATGGATAAAGGGGACCTGCTGTAATTACACCATCTGCTTACTCCCCTGAAGGAAAATAAAGAGTAGAAAGGATGACAAATAACTGCTAATTCAGCATATAGAAAACTGTGGACTGACTTGATCTTCTCAGCGTCTCTTGTAAGGAGGCCCCGTTTGTCAGTAACTATACTCCTCATGGCACTGAGGGCAGCGCTGGATGGTAGTTGCAGATTTCTATACTTCTGAAGTAGGAGAAGAGGCAAGGAATACACGGTAATTAGGGCAGAAAGGACGAAGAAATCCTGTTCTGGACCCACTTAGCCCAGAGTGTATGTCAGAATGTTCCTGTGTCAGAGCTGCTTGGTAGCTCCACAGCCCTCCAGAGGCCTTCCATGTGCCATCCCACCCTCACCCTTCAGTCTTCCTTCCCATTGCCCCTCAGGAGAAACTCCCCTTACAAGAACAAACTCAAAAGTGTGTTCAGCACTAAGTGCAAACTCTGTGATCTCTTTGAGACTTTTCCTTACTTATCCCACACTGGTGTGTTCTTCTGAATTATTGCAGTATTTACTGCTTGTCTGCACCAGACTGGAGAGTGGAAAAGAAACTTCTTCTTTGGTGCCAGGCACTATGCAAGGTTGTGTTTAATCTTCACGACCTTTGTGTGGGCTAAGTGCAACTGCTTCATTATATAGATGGGAAACTTGGTCAGAGAAACACAGCAGGACGCCTCCCGTTTCCACAGCACTTGATTCAGTGCTCAGCACAGAGATGTGTAATGCGCGGAGACATGGCAGTTTCTGACTCAGAATTCTGCCTGTGACTCCCCAATCACTAGTGCATCTTTTATGCCCTGTTGCATCAAGGCACTTGTGGCTCTCTGTATTCATGGTATTTGCCAGAATTTGTTAATTCCTGTTAGTATCAGTTGTACGTTTCCAATGGTCAGAGAGTCTGTGGGTGAAATCCATTCCCTTATCCCATGTGTCACAAGTTGTGACTTCAGTAACTTAATCCTAGCTCTGGGCCTGGGTTTCCACATCTCTAAAATGTGAGGGACGTTGTAACTGCCTCAGAAGGTTGTTGCCAGGACTGAATGAAGTAATGAATGTCACATTCCCAGCTCAGGAAACTTGGGTCTTTGGGAATGAAAAGCCTCTTCATGTCTTGGGGTTGATTACATCTGTGCATAAGCTACCCTATTTATGACACAGATATTCCTTGTCTCTGTCTAGTATCCAGGGCTTCCCTCGTTTTAGTATCTGGGTTTGTCAAACTCATCTTGACTCACCCCTCCTTACCCCTTGTGGTTATGTATGTTTAATGAGTGCTTGGCCTAGGTCAGCCATGAAGCAGAGGCCACATAAAGGCTAGGGAGTCTTTGCTAGCAGGGGATCATGGGGATGCCAGGGAATAGATTTTCATATTTTCCAATTAGGTTAGAGTACAGGCTTTTTTTTTTTTTTGCCTTGTGGTATGATACATACCTTTTGTTTTTTGAAAACTACAGACCCAGAGATGCGGGCCTTAGTTATATATTCATTTTCCCTCTGAAAAGATAATTTTTAAAATCTGAGCACATGAATTCTATTTTGTTATGTAGGGTTCAACATTTAAGTGATTCTGTGCATACGAATAGAGTGATTTATAACCTGATAAAGATTTTTGCTTCAAGGTAGATTTGTGCATTTCTTATGGATTTAAATGTTTATTTCTTTGTGGCACTGCATGCACATGCGTGTGTGTGTACATGCTTTGGTTTCTTTTGGTTTTGAGGGCTTTGTTGTGTATTATGACATTGGTATGGCTGCCTATTCTAATGGTGTATCAAAAACAACGTACATGTGGATTCCTTTAGCTTTCCAGTTTACCTCCTCTGAACTGAAGAGTTGTCATTTTAACAAATTGAAACACCATCTTTGAAGATTATGGTGTCATTTTTATCCTATGGCAACGCCTCATTTCTTTCTTCATTTAATCCAGACGCCTCATGAAGACTTAAGCTTCTGTGTCTACATATATGAGGTAGTTAATAATTAGGCCTGTGAAGGTCTTTGTAGGAGACTTTGCCAAAGTATCTGGCCCTTAGAGTGCTTGACATGTCTCGGAAGATTCATCTAGTGTCTGAACATTGCGGTCTAGGGGATCAGGTCAAATAAGGATACTGATCTAGAAATTGGGATTTTTATGTTATCTTTATATGTGTATTATGTGCTCTTTCTAACCATAAAGGTATGTCCGGTTAATGTTCTAATTCCACTCTGGAGCAAAAGCTCTGGCAGTTGGAGCTTTCATAACATTATGTCATGCTGTTTACCTGCTCAGTCCTGCTTTAGACTCATTTTTTTTTTTTTTTAAGATTTTTACTTATTTGACAGAGAGAGAGATAGCGAGAGCAGGAACACAAGCAGGGGGAGTGGGAGAGGGAGAAGCAGGCCTCCTGCCGAGCAGGGAGCCTGATGTGGGACTCGATCCCAGGACCCTGGGATCATGACCTGAGCCAAAGGCAGACGCTTAACGACTGAGCCACCCAGGCGCCCTAGACTCATTTTTGAATTACCAGAGAGGCTGTTCTGGATCCTTGAAGCTAGTGGAGGGTAGCCATCTTTGTGGGGTATAGGGACGCT